CCAAGGCCAGGCACCTTCACATAATACGTTATTGGCTTTCCATTTTCGACATTTATTCAAAGTTGCTTCAGTCATGAGGTGATAAGAGTCGATTTTAAAATTATCTAAATATTTGGAATTCAAGTCTGCAATAATTACATTGTTTTTATTTTTCACTGGCATCGGAATTACTTTAAATAGATGGGAGGGGTGTCAACCAAATAAGGGGATTTTGACATTTAAAATGAGCTTATTATCCAAAAAAGACCACTTAGCCGATAAGGTATACATCTTTACCTCCGTTTCTGTTCTTTTACCTGGAAGTATTAATGTTTCTGTTATTGCATCCTTTATTACAACAAAATACTGAGGGGCTGCCAACTAGGAAGACTGGAGTGGTCAACTATACATTTAGTAAACAATCCTCCTGATGGCATAACTCATGACGGTATTGGCTGGCTGCCATCATTTGCAAAAGCCTGTATACAAGCTACATCAATACACACCATTGGTCGCAGCGACAAGTCCCAGCCTTCATCGTATGGGTCAATCAGTCTCCTGCCGTGCCTATCAAAGACATTTGAAAAGCTGCTCCTGAATCGTATTCACGAGAAACACGGAACCATTGAAAAATTAAACCGAATAACCTTCTTTTTTTTTTTTTTTTTTTTTTACTTTGCTATTTATTTTATTGAATCTTCTCCCTATGGTGACTAACAATAAGTGTATCAAATCTTAAACCTAATTACTCTAACTAACTGTCATATGACTGATATTATGCTATAGGGGGCCCGAAAGTTATTGCTGGCTGTGCAGGTCGTTGCTTTGTAGACGGGATCGGCTGGGAACCAGGCTTCTTGCGAGGAGATTGGGGTGCATAGAGAGTTTTTCATTGTAGGACGCTTTTTGTTTGTCTATTTCATCTTTTACGGTAAGAATGCCTAGGTCCCTGTGGATGTTTAGATTGCGAATGTACCATGGTGACCCAGTGATAATTTGGAGGGTTTTTGATTGGACGCGCTGTATAATGTCTATATTCGTTCTGCTGGCGTTCCCCCATAGCTGGGAGCCATATGTCCAGATGGGCTTGAGGGTAGAGTTGTAGAGCAAGACCTTGTATTCCAGACGCAGGGGTGAACGGGCATTAAGAATCCAGTGGAGGCTGTTGGCTTTCAGTTTTAGGTGTTCTTTTTTGCATTGGATGTGTCTTCTCCAGGTTAGTCGTCTGTCAAGGTGGACGCCGAGGTACGTTACATCGTTAACTTGGGGAATCTGCGTGTTATTTAATGATAGTGGAGGGCAAGTTTGTCTGTTGAGGGTAAACGTTATGTGTTTACATTTCTGTTCATTTATTTTAATCCGCCAATCAGATAGCCATCTCTCTACTACGAGCAGGTGATTTGCTAGCTGTGTGGTGTCTCTGCCTGGACACCCCCTGCCGTGTGTAACTTGCCGCCGCCGTGCCGTCGCCCAGCGATCCCTGATATAGTCAAGATATCTGACTGAGTTTGTCTTTCGAATTCGCAATGTCCTTTCGATGCGTTATTAAATAAAACAATTTTAAAAATTTAAGCAAATTAAACCTACTTTGTTCTTTTTTAAATAACAAAGATCTTGAAGAGGATTGTAAAAATGAATATTCACAAATTTATGAATAACTTTCGAAATTCAAATTACATTTGAAAGTCTAGAGTTTAGTTCCACAGTCTTTCTGGATGTCGCCTAGGCATTCGACCGCAATTGGCTGGACGCCTTAATTTCTACAATTAAAACCTTGCTTTCACAGAACACCCATTAAATACTGGAGTCCTATCTATCTCAAGGTAGCGTGCTTGGACCAACACTGTATATAATTTTCACAGCAGACCTTCCAACAACCAATCTTATAACAACCTAAACATTTGAATAGACGGCTTACTTGACAAAAGCACATCAAAGCCAAGAGAACATAATTTAAATTAAAATGAAGAAGCCTACATTTGTTAATAAATGCCCGTTCTCCGCTAAAATTAGAGTGAAAGGTACTTCTATACAATGCAATTCTCAAGCCAATTTGGATATATGGCTCCGAGCTATGTGGAAACGCATGCGTTAGTAACCTAGAAGTAATACAGCGAGCTCAATCAAAGATACTGAGAACTATAGCTGGTGCACCGTGGTACAAACGGAATGAAAAAATTGACAGAGATTTAAATGTGGGAACTGTTAAAGACGAAATCGAATATACGATCAAGTTAGAGGTTTATCCAAATAGGCTTGCGCTGTTTTTAACCTGGAGCACTAGCCATTCACGACTCCGAAAAATAGATCTACTCACCCAGGGACAATAGTAAGCTCTCCTAAAAACTTAATTTTATATTTATGAATTAGGCTGAGATTTGAATACTTGTCGGTCTCAAAGATAGAAGTCTCGATATATAAAATACCGTACAAAAAATGTGAGTGTGGTACAAGGAACTGCATTTATGAGTTGGAAGTTTATTCCTTAATATCTCGAGAATTACGTAACGGAAATTAAAATGTAATATCTCAAATGAAAGATATACATTTCGAACATATATATTAAAAATAAAATTCACAAGTTTTAAGTTAAAGACTCGCTTATTTCCTTAATAACACAAAAAAGTCATTTTTGTATGCACAAAAATTATCCGTACACTTCATAAAATGTTGAATATTAACAACAATTCCAAAGGTTTAAGGATTTTAATCTTTAGTGGGTCCTTCGTTGGAATGGAAGCTTGTAAACGTCGACACATGCTTTTTATAAAGTTGCTCGTCTCGTCAGCATCAATTCAATCCCATTCAGGTAATAATGCGGTTTTTAAGGATTCCTTCTAAGATATGTTGTCCCTTTCTGGACGATATCCCATAAATGTTCTATAAAAGCCACTATTCCACTAAGTCCGACAAATATTTCGGGTTGTTATCTCATTGAAATACGATGTTTAAGGGCACTTGGAATGAAATTTTGGCCTAAAATGTCTTTATACATAAATTTATTAATTTTATCTTCCATAAGGACCATTTGAGCCACTCCACCTCCATCCCATTCTTGCCAACGTGCTTAAAAGATGGAATAAAGTTTTTTCCTTCATGGCTTCATTTGCCTTCTGACATACTTTAAAAGGACCGCCGTGTCCAAAATTTTTCATTTTTGATTTGTCAATAAAGGTTACGTTTTCCCAAAATAATTCCGACTTGCTTACATGCACTTTTGCCATCTCCAAACGCATTTTTTGTTGTAATCAAAAATCAATGGGTTTTTACGAACAACTCTTCCATGTATACCAGCATTGTGCAGGGTGTTCCGGATGGTTTGGAAACAAAATTTTTTTTCAGAAGGCTTCTCTAGGCTTTTAAGAATTGTTGTGGATGTTATTCTGGGATTTTGTAATGCCGTATTTACAACGTTATGCTCCTCCCGTGGTGTCCGTATGTGGTTCCTTACAGATTTTCTATGTTCTACTGCAAATTCTCCTGTGTTTACGTATTTTTTTTGTATCAAACTTTGCATTGTGGAAGGTGACTTGACAATATCTCTACCATTTTCGGGTTAATTGTGGTTCGCTAAATATAATTTTATTATAGTTTTTCGAAAATTTAGGGATAAATCTTGACCCCGACCCATTTCGTCCAATTACAGCAAAAAAAGCAGCGAAACTAACTAAACAACTTTGAGAATAGTACACCGAAGTTTGCTCCGAAGTACAGTTCAAAAATTAATCGCTGATTACCGTTGTATTCAGAAATAGAAGTCAAGAATGAAAAGTGTACGTTTTTTTGCGTTATTAACGAAATTATCTAGTATTTAAGTTAAAATTTGTTAATTTTATGCTAAAACATATGCTCGAAATGTATATCTTTTATTTGAGATATTACATTTTAATTTTTGTTACGTATTTCTCGAGAAATTAAGGAATAAACTTCCAACTCATGGGTGTACAAATAAATTATGTGCCGACTGTATATTAATATATCGCTTCATGGTACTGTATTTATACCGGGAGGTTGTGGGTGCCTTTACAAAGGAAAACCAAAATTCATTACCTCGATTTAATAAAATTGTTTATCTATATATACATAAATGAAATAAAAAAGTCGAATGTGCCGAAATTAGAGATAAATGTAGATAATATTTAAAATCTATTGTTTGCTTTAATCGTGCATAATATAGCATAAATTAACATATTCACATATTAATTAAAAACCCTCATATTAAGACTATTTTAATTATTTCCGTTGCGCACGATAACACCATTCTGCAACTAAAAGTTTATATAATACTTGTGCCCGCCATGTCCACTTAAGTGACTGATTGCCAAACGCAAACTATTAGCCGGTCACTGGTCACTGTGGTGGATGATGGGCCCCCAAAGGCGATCGATTGGACTGACTTCGTTACTATAAAATAATAATAGTCATTAAAAAAAATATAAAGTACGTTAATTATAAATCTTTGATTAGCAAATCCCCCTCCTGAAAATAATAGATCATCACAAAATATTGAGCCCATAACATCAAATTAGAATATGATAATTTTTATTATATGAGGAATACATTTTTTATTAGGCCCGTAGCAACGAAGGACAGTCTTCCCCTTCTCACCATAGAAAATACAAATTTCAAAAATTGCAGTAAATTCTTAATAATGCTGATTCCGCTCAAAAGGAAAAGCGTTTTCCAAGAAATTCATTGGTTTATCGTCAGCAATGTAACCACAAGGAAACAAAAATGAGTCTGAGTTCTTAATTCGTAAATAAAAACTTTACCAATTATTTGATTATTTATATTATTTTTTTTTTTGTGGTAAAATATTAATACGCTAATAAATAATGGTTTCATTCAGAATATGTTAGCGTGGTTCCACGCCTATAACCAAACTGCCTTTATGGATTGAAAAATTTGTCTTTAAAAATTTTGGGATTTCTGGATGCTGTCAATGCTAAACATAATACGAAATAATTTTAAACATTTTCAACGAATTCAAATTCTCTCATGCCTAAAAAGTAAAGGGGAGATATTTTCAGAAGTATTTGTTTTGTAGGGTAAGTAATGACATTTGTGTGAAATTTATGGATAACATTGAGCTTAAATATGATCACAGTATTTGTCAGTAAATCTACATCTAGTATATACAAATCAGTATTTTACACACAGTTTTGGATTCGTAGCATACACAAATAAATTAACTTTAATTCGCGCTAAAAGGAAATTACATATTAGTTTGCTACTCGTCTGCTTCATTTTCTGTCTGGATAAGCAATGGAATCTGTTGAGGAAGGTCGCTAGTTGCCCATAGGTACAGGTCCAGTGTTTTTTCCGTGCAGTCGGCGACAAACCGTACAAATGGCCGAATGTCGCCCTCGTTGGCCAATTTCAGGAAGTAGTAGTACTTGCTACGTTGTTGCTTTGGAATAATGACAGGCGGGTACCCTGCTCGCATTAGCAAGGTGTTCATTAGCAAACGAGAAGTTCGTCCGTTCCCGTCGATGAAAGGATGAATGGCTACGAGCTTGTAGTGAGCGAGCGCTGCATAACTGTGGATGAGACAGAACCTATTTATTAACATTGGATTTAATATCATAAAATTCACTTTTTACAAAATAATAAATAAATCGGTAAATATAAACTAGAAATGTTATACAAGGTCAAACTTGTAGACGATAGAGTTTGCTTGACTGCATGAAAATACTTCAAGCTGCGATGTCATCTAGATCCCTAGATCTCAGCGTTCATGCGCACAAGCATACAAAAGGACAAGAAGTGTTGATTATAAGTCCTCACACAAAAATTGGCGCTGCGATAATTAATGATAGCAAAATGGTTATTTTAAAATTGAATAAGACAGTAACCTGGTAATTTAATTGCAAAAGTTTGTAATAATTTATAAGGTCATTACTAATCTTTATTATTTAAATTAGATATTAGGCCTATGTTACTTGCCTAACAACAACACATTTGTATGTGTTTGAAGAAAAACCAAAGAGCCCGCGAATTTTAAACAAAAGAGCACAGTTTTCTTCGTGAGCCGATCATTTGCTCAGAAGTTTTTTGCTACCCATTCACTTTTACGCATTTAAACACAATTTTGGGAAATAAAATATGCTATTTTTTATAGAAAGGAAATATTTTTAGATTTTACTTTCCTTAAAAATAAACTATAAACATTTAATTTGTTTGCCTCATTGTTAAATTTATATTTTAAAATGCGAAATATGTTTATGATATGTTTCCCACTTACTTAACGGGATGTAGAAACTTGCAGTGATCAGAGTTTATCCAACGCTGAAAGTGCAGCATTAATTGCGAAAGGTCCCCCGGACCAGGTGGTATATGACCCCCGACGAACACTTGAGTACGCCGGAACTCTCCACCCTCAATTGGGTCCACATGTCCTAGTACTCGGCGGTGCAGCTCAAGGATGTCTTTAATAGTGATTTCTATTCTGAAGAAAAGAAAATACATATAAATAAGAACATTTTTCAAAATTTATGCCAATAGTAACAAATTATTTATTTTTTAATTGTGCAAAAATAAAGCGTATAGGGAATTTTTGAATTGTTAAAGTTTTTTTATATGGACATATACATAAGTATGCACAGTTAAATCGATGTTTGTATGTAAGGATAGCTGGTTTTCGGAATCTATAGATCTAAAACCTATCAAAAGACGGGCCAAGTTTACTTGCATAAAAGCATTAACAAGTTTGTATTATATTGAACATTTATTCATGTTTTTATAGAGTCTTATAGGTCATAATGCTAAAAGCCTTACTTACTTTTGTACCAGGCTAGCATTAATGTACTTCATAGCTAGGTCCATTCCCAAGATCTCGTTATGCTCGTCAATAGATTTGCCGTCCACAGCCATGCGAGTCTCTAGGACAGACCTCGTTTGAGCCAGCGTCATAGTATTACCCTCGATTCCTACCGAATGGTAAATGTGCTGAAAGTAGGCTTCCTTTTTAGCCCGACGCAGGGCGGCGTTGGTCTCGTGGATTGCGGAGAGTGCATCGCGTTTTGAGTCCAACGACTCAAGACGGCGCTCATCAAGAATCTGCACAACATTAGCAGTTCGCTGTCTATTGGCAATCGCCTCTACATTAGTCGGATTGATAGTCAAGGCCTGAAAGTAGTATTGATCCGCCAGCACAACGTTGTGTTGGCTGTGCTCTAGAAACTCGCCGTAGCGGAGCAGTACTTCAGGGTGCCGGGGAGCTAGAATTAGGGCATGTTCAAACAGACGACCAGCCTTGTCAATCTTGTCCGCCAGATACATGTCGTGGGCCCTTTGAAGAGCCACTAGCGCCTCTTTGATATTTGTCTGCTCTTCCTCCATTGAAATAGTCCGGACATCTTCACGGATATTTTTGAAGTAAAACTCCTTGAAACTGTTCATCTCCTCTACGGAATACAGCGCGAACTCATTCTGAGTCTGATGATTGTGGGCTATGGAGAAGTGGCGGATCTGCCGTAGGTTCCAATTCCAAGTCGAGGAAGTGAAGATATGAAAAAACCATGCCGCAATACTACCAGCAATAAAGAACAGTGCTATACGGAGATGGCTGCTCGCGTGTGCTCCATAGAGTGGCGGATTACGTTGTTGGTGATGAGCAGGTAGATTTGTTTGCGTTGCGTTCTTGCCCATAGCTAATTATCTGTGTTAGTTTATGTTTTGCACAAATTTTGAATAATTTGCACGCCATGTACATGTTACGCTAAATAGAAACATCTAACCGACACTTTGGTAAATGTGCTTACCTGCAGGTACTGCACTCTGCTAACATAACACAACCATGAAATAACACAGTTTCTGAATGATAATCATATCGACATTATGCTACTGGCAGAGACGCACCACACAAACAAATACAACTTCCAAGTAAGAGGATACACTCTCTACCGCACAGATCATCCGGATGGTAAAGCCCACGGCGGAGCCGGCATCTTAATCAGCGAACGCATCAGGCACCACTTTCACCGAAGTTTTGCAACTAATTATATGCAAGCCACGTATATTCAAGTGCAGTCAGGCAACGGACACCTCACCATAGCCGCTGTTTACTGCCCACCTCGTTTTACAATTTCTGAAGGACAATTCATGGACTTCTATAACCTGCTTGGGGATCGTTTTATAGCCGCAGGGGACTATAATGCCAAACACACGCACTGGGGATCACGCCTTGTGACTCCCAAAGGAAGGCAATTATACAATGCAATCATAAAACCAAACAACAAATTAGACCACGTCTCCCCCGGCAGCCCCACATAGTGGCCAACCGACCCCCGGAAAGTCCCAGACCTAATAGACTTTCCGGTGACAAAAAATATTCCACGAAATTTAATAAGCGCCAGAGCACTTTCGGACCTTTCGTCAGACCATTCTCCAGTGCAAATAACTCTCCTTCAATGCACAAAAATTACAGATGACGCCCACAGGTTGACGTCGCACAGAAGCAACTGGTTAAAATACAAAAAATATGTAAGCTCACACATTAAACTAAACCCTAAATTTAACCTCGCAGCTGACATCGACGGCTCTACCGATGCTCTTGAAGGGGTATTCGTGAAGGCAGCCACTATCGCAACACCACAATGCAGGGAGATGGAAACCAACCACCTTAAAACTAATCTGCAAATTGAACGGCTAGTCCTAGAAAAGAGGAGCCTGCGACGAGCCTGGCAAACAAACAGATCGCCGTCATCAAAACAACGTCTTATTAAAGCCACTCGCTTACTAAATCGAGCTCTAAAGCAAGAAGCAGAAAAGGCACAACTGCGGTATATTAAAAAACTTTCGCCACCCAGTACAAAACATCCTCTGTGGAGGGCTCATCCAAATCTGAGCTCCCCTGTCGAAACAGTCACGCCGATAAGAAATTCATCTGGCAACTGGGTACGCAGCGACGCGGATAGAGCCGAAACTTTTGCTTTACATCTCAGAAACGTCTTCCAGCCGAACCCTGCCACTGGTTCATTTGTACTACCACAAATAGAATCTGAATCTATTTCCTTGCCACTATTGTTTCAGCCGAAGGAGATCGCGAAAGTCATTGGGGAACTGAAACAGAAAAAGGCACCTGGCGGTGACCAAATAACCCCAAAAACCCAAATAACTTCCAAACTCTGCCGTTGAGGTTATTTGTAAGCTCTTCAATGGGATCATGACAGTCGGCTACTACCCAAAAAAATGGAAAAAATCTATTGTCATTATGATACCGAAGCCCGGAAAAGACCGTACAATTTCGTCATCCTACAGACCAATCAGTCTATTATCGTGTTTGTCTAAGTTGTTCGAAAAATGTCTTCTAACCCGCATAATACCATATCTAGAAGCCCACAATGTTATCCCTGCCCATCAATTTGGCTTCCGTCAAAACCATGGAACAATCGAACAAGTAAACAGAATAACATCAGAAATTCGCACAGCCTTTCAGCATCGGAAATACTGCAGCGCAATATTCCTCGACGTATGTCAAGCCTTTGATCGAATATGGCTAGATGGTCTCATGCACAAAATTAAAACACACTTGCCTGGATACACTCATAAGCTTCTTGAGTCGTATTTATACAACAGAACCTTCGCAGTAAGGTGCAATACAGCAACATCCGGAGACTACATTATCAAAGCTGGAGTCCCGCAAGGAAGCGCGATAGGGCCTACTCTGTTCCTCCTATACACATCGGATATTCCCACAAATGAGCAGCTAACAACATCTACGTTCGCTGACGACACTGCAATTCTAAGTCGCTCGGGGTGCCCAGGCAGAGCCACCACACAGCTAGCAAATCACCTGCTCGTAGTAGAGAGATGGCTATCTGATTGGCGGATTAAAATAAATGAACAGAAATGTAAACACATAACGTTTACCCTCCACAGACAAACTTGCCCTCCACTATCATTAAATAACACGCAGATTCCGCAAGTTAACGATGTAACGTACCTCGGCGTCCACCTTGACAGACGAATACCCTGGAGAAGACACATCCAATGCAAAAAAGAACACCTAAAACTGAAAGCAACAGCCTCCACTGGATTCTTAACGCCCGTTCACCCCTGCGTCTGGAATACAAGGTCTTGCTCTACAACTTTACCCTCAAGCCCATCTGGACATATGGCTCCCAGCTATGGGGGAACGCCATCAGAACGAATATAGACATTATACAGCGCGTCCAATCAAAAACCCTCCGAATTATCACTGGGTCACCATGGTATATTCGCAATCTAAAAGTACCGTAAAAGATGAAATAGACAAACAAAAAGCGTCCTACAATGAAAAACTCTCTATGCACCCCAATCTCCTCGCAAGAAGCCTGGTTCCCAGCCGATCCCGTCTACAAAGCAACGACCTGCACAGCCAGCAATAGCTTTCGGGCCCCCTATAGCACAATATCAGTCATATGACAGTTAGTTAGAGTAATTAGGTTTAAGATTTGATACACTTATTGTTAGTCTCCATAGGGAAAATCTTACGTGCTTTCTTTTTCCGTGTGACCGTTTCTGACAGAAATCTCTAATTCATATTTTTTTTTTCTTTATTTATTTACAATCTGTTTTTATAAACAATAAGTAAATTTTATAATTAATATTAAATAACAGGAATATCAGTTTTCCAGTGAACCCTGCTATTATATACAACATCGTTTCTGTTAATTGAATTTATCTATCGGTGAGATCTAGTATGTGGTATCTTTTTAGTCTTCTTAATGATAAGCTGTTATCTACTAGACTTAAGGCTAAATTATTTTCATGATTATGGACTCTGTCGATATATTTTTTACTAATTTTATTTATTTCTTCTCTTATGGTTGGGATATTGAGATCCTTTTGGATATTTGCATTAGTTACATAATAAGGAGCATTGACAATTTGTCGCAAAGTTTTTGACTGGTATCGCTGTAGTATCTCAATATTTGAGTTGCTAGCAGTTCCCCAAAGCTGTATAACGTAAGTCCAAAAAGGCTTTAATATAGCTTTGTAGAGGCGAATTTTGTTTTCCAGTGAGGTATCCGATTTTCGACTTATCAACCAGGACATTTTTAATGTTTTAAGTCTGAGTTGCTGACATTTAGCTTTTAAGAGATTTTTCTACGTTAATCTGCGGTCGAGATGCAAGCCCAGATACTTGACACAGGTACTTTGTGGAATTGGCGAGCCGTTAAGTAACACATTTGGGAAATTACCTGGTCTCAATGAAAAGGTTATTTGGACAGATTTTAAGGAGTTAATTCTAATTTTCCATCGAAGGAACCAGTCTTCAATTAGGCTTAGCTCACGCTGCAGAAGTTCAGAAGCTTCATTTCTAGATGAGCTTGTGGCCAAAACGGCTGTATCATCAGCATATGTTGCAACAGTGCAGTTGTTTGTGACTGGCATATCCGCCGTATATAAAGTGTAGAGGATTGGTCCTAATACGCTTCCTTGTGGGACGCCTGCATTAATGAGAAGTAACGTTGATGAATCGTTTTTCTGCTGCACGTAAAAGCATCTTTTATTAAGATATGATTTGATTATTAAGTAATACGGAGCAGGTAGCAATTTTTTTATCTTGTACAATAAACCTTTGTGCCAGACTCGATTAAACGCTTGTTGAACGACAAGAAATGCAGCTGTGCAGCCGTGGCCTCTCCTGAATCCGAATTGGTATTCAGGAATGATGGAATGTTCGTCCAAAATTGGCAACATTCTCTTCAGGAGTATTTTTTCAAACACTTTCGAAAATATTGTCAGTAGACTAATGGGACGATATGATGTTAATTCTGTTTCCACTTTGTTTGGCTTAAGGATCATTATGATCTCTGCACATTTCCATTGACTTGGAAAGTGGTCTAATCTGAGAATTGCGTTAAATATAAGGGTGATAAACTGTATGCATTTTTTTTGGGGTGATGCCGTTTATTTTATCAGGACCTGGTACTTTTTTATTGTTCAATTCTTTGATTTCTGTTACGACTTCTTCATATTTGATTATTTTTATAGGTAAGCTCATTTGGCAGGGTGACTCAAGAAATTTTTCTACTTCAGTCTCTGTTATAGTATTATTAATATCGTTGGGATGGAAGACAGATTGCAGATGTTGTGCAAATGCTTCCGCTTGTTCTGTATTAGACCTACACCAATTTCCATTGGTATTACGAATATTCGTGTTTCTTTTAGCTGGTCTCTTTAGGTATTTAGTCGCCCTCCTTAGGTTGTGTTCATTGTTGCAGGAATTAGGATCCAAATTTCTCAGATATGCAGCTAGCGATTCATTGCGTAAGTTCGACAGAAGTGGTCTAAGCTCAGATGCAGCCTTGTTGTATAATCTTTTGTTTTTTCTTTTTCTTTTATTTTCTACTTTCTGTCGAATCTCGATAGACAGGTACAATTGGTTTGATTGTTGATGATTAAGAGCATGATCCGTGTTTCTGTAGCTCGCTTTATGAATTGTTTTTGTGAAAAGCTCCACAGCATAGTCTATCTCCTCTCCTGTTTTTAACGAAATAACCAGGCTTATAGCTCTTAAATGCGTTAATGTCTGTAGAAGCTGAAATGACTGTGTAGGGCTTTTCCAACATATGGGCTATTGTGCTGTAAGTAGCTATTATTGGAGAATGATCTGAGTTAAGGTCAAAGCTTTCCATTACTCGCATATGTGATAGTGCAATTCCAGAGAATACTACGAAATCAATTAATTCTGGGATTTTCCGACTATCAGGTGGCCAGTATGTAGGCTTAGCAGTTGATAAAGTGTGTATATTATTGTTTCGTATGCATTTGTATAACTCCGATCCCTTCGGGTTAGT